TTTTTTTGAATGAGAAACAGATATCTAGCAATAATTACCTTGAGGAGTTGGTTGAGTTCAGGTGACATGTGTGGTAGACTGGGAAGTTTTCCCTCACGAATACTGTGCCACTGTGGGCCATTGCGGGGTAGGTTGTGTCCACCACCTGCCTCGTACATGGTCAGACCCAGAGAAAACACATCACATTTTGACAGGTGGTCAAAGTTTTCACTGAGGATTTCTTTTGGGAGGTAATGGCAGTCTCCATCCTCCACTGTGGGGTTGGTCACGGACGTCACATGGCCTAAGTCACCTGTAATACATAATGTATATACAATTATAGTCTACCCTGGAGTTGTGAATCAAATGCTCACATTTGTGAAAATTTAAAATTCATTCATTTTACATAGCATTACGCACATCTTTTCAGAATTTGATAGGAAATAACTCGCTATAAGATAGATAGATAAAATTCCGCAAGTTTAGGGCACCTAAATAGTCGCATATAATTTTGTTTTAGAAAAATATGTTTAACACATGTAATATCCTATTATGTATTTTAAGTCATTCACCCCAGAAATTTCATAATGTACTATTCCAGCCTTGATATTGGAAGAGTTCAAATGTGACTTCAGGGGTTAATGTCAAGAGTTAAAGTTGAGATGAACATACCAATTTTGTATATGATTGCCTCCTCCTCCTCTTCGTCCTCCTCTCCACATGACTCCATGCCACTCTCAGGGGACTGTAGGAACTTTGGGTTTCTGTGGATGAAGATGTTGCCAGGCTTTATGTCCAGATGCACCAGGTTCTGGGAGTGAATGTACTTGAGGCCTAGGACAGCCTGGTACATAATGGTCTTCAGTTCAGACTCGCTCATCACTCTTCCTGTCCGCTTATCTTCTTCCACCACCTCTGCCAGACTGCCACCTAGAACAAGAATATTGTGAATGTCATTAAATTGGAACTACTCTAGCTTTATCATATTGCCCGTTTGATATGTGTTTCAGTCAATTAAGAATGGGTCATTCTTCCATATAGTTTTCAAGACATACAGTAAATACACTACTTAATTTAACAAGTGAACTTCATCAAAAATCTCCCTGATATGGGATGTCTGAACAAGATGTTATTAAATGAACAATTTAACATATATTGCAAAACAGGTCAAATATTTCATTTTCAATTCATGGACAAGAACATTTTGAGATTTTTTGCCAGTATTTCTCCACAATTTAGAACAAAGTCCTAAATATTTTTTGTAGTGACTCTTATAATTTTCTTATAAAAATCAAAGCAAAAAGATGCAGGTGATCCAAAATATCTAAAAAGGTGTTCTTTTACATTTTGTTCATTCATCCCTGAAATTTCATTATGAACTATTAAAACCTTTGAACTGGAAATTCAAATGTGTTTTCTGGGATAAATGAGTTAATAGTATAATTCTCAGAACTTTATCCATTTTGTGAACACTGAATATAACTTCATAGATCTGAACTGATTTGCTCATTACTCACCATTACAGTACTCGTTTTGTATGTACATGTGGTCCTCTTCTGCCCAAGCTGAGTAGTACCGCACAACATGCTGATGTTTCCCCAATACCGCATGGGCGTACACCTCGTTCATTGCATTCCTCCTGTACATAAAACAAAGCATTCTTTAGAACATAAAATTCTTTCTTGTCTTGATTTTTTAAACCTTGCAGAGTACATCTAGCAAGTCTGGAAAAGTTTACAGGAACCAACAAATATGACAGGTTTAGAACTGGAGAAATCTGAGTATGATTTTAATGAAAATGGTAAATTGGAAATCGAACGACTTGTCTGCAAAAACATAAGCAAAACACGAGATAATTGAACGTTTTCTTTTCGTATACTTGTGTAACCAATTTACAAGTTAACAGTTATCCATCAATCCTTGATGATTTTGTTGACATTTGTCATGTGCCTTCATTTCATGGCAGTTAAGTTAGAACTTACTCGTATACACTTCCAGCGACAGGCATCTTAGACTTCTTGATGGCATAAGTACAGCCGTCCAGTCGATGAACGCATTTGTAGACACTGCCGAACTCTCCATCACCAAGCTTACACACTTCATGGAACTCCTCATTGTACCGGGACGTGTTTATCTCATGTAATGCAATTTTCTGTTGAGAGAGGAAAGTTGTTTAGTATGTTTTCAATATTAAACTGGTATAAATATCTAAATCTGTATAGTTTTTCAGTTAAATTTCTATGATGGTTCTTTCTGTTTTCGAATATATTTTAACCGGGCCGAAAGACACTCAAAGATATTTTTACATGAACTTGAATTATAATGTTTTCGTTCAATAATTTGACAATATTGAAAGAATATTATTGATATGTCACTTCTCAGATTGCTGTTACCTAAATCTCTGCTTCATTCATAAGGGATAACTTACTTTTGTTGAGGGCATGTCAACTTCAATTTCATCTTCTGTCGAGTCATCCAATATACTTCTGAAAAATAAACCATATTACATTTATATACAATCACTCAACAACTTTCATAGCACCACATGTACAGGGAAACTATTAAGCACAGGAAGCAGGTCAAAATGACAGGTTCAGCTCTGATTTTGAACTGTTCAAATCAATGTTTTCTTATATATATCGTGTATGAAATTTTACAAAAGTTAGCAGATTAAAATGTC